GTTGACACTTGACGTTTTCGGGATATGAAAAGTTTTCTTTACACGGACTTGGTATACCTGGTTAGTTGAATTTTTGTTCTGCTGCTTTTCAAATTTGTGTGTATGAGCGAGATGTGAGATACCTTTATAGACAACGGTTGAACAACTTAATTACTTTGAAGAAGAAAATACATTAGATATCAGGGCAGTCTTCGCAAATGTGAGAAGGCAGAACCGTTTTAAAAAATTTTTATATATGTGAAATATTACTTATTAGTGAAAAGTTTAATCACTTTTAGTTCAAAATATAACGTAGCTTGTTAAGGAAAATATATAACACACAAGGTTAGAGTAATAAAATAGAGGTTTTGCTTTATTTCTTAAGAATTACTCTAATCTAAAACTTTTCTATGTTGTAGAAATTTATTCTATACGTTATTTAGGTACTTACTGCAAAATCTATAGGAAAGTATGTAGTTTTAAATATAAAAATTTATAATGGAGACATATTTAGTGTAGTTTTTTTACAAATATATACTCAGTGACTTGTTTTAGTGAATGAGTTCAAGTATGGCAGACTAAAATCGTTACTTTTTATTATGAATTTATTTAAAAAACTTGTAATAAAAATATTAAAGTTATGTTTATTGGCCATTTACTACACACAGCAAATTCATAGACACTATACATATCGCACTATTTGACATTCTTATTAAACTCATTAATTTAAAATTAACTTTAAACTGAGTGACTACACACAGAATTGTTTGAAAGCAGGCATAAGGTATAATTTATTTATTGGATACTATAAAAAATTAATAGTAGTTACATGTAGAGTTAAGTAACAAGAACTTTAAAAACAAAACAAACCTTTATATCTAGTAAACTTAATTTAGTACAGTTCTCAACTTTCTTAGGCTAACATTAAAGATATCTATTTGGACCTCGCTAAAAAACTCATTGGTAATAGCCATTATCTTGTTAAAAGGAGATATACTACTTGGATCTAAACTAAATAATTTTTTGTTACTTGGGATTCTTAGATTAATCTTTGCCACATTAAAATTTATATAGTCAATCAAATCACAATTTTTGTACTTAACATTATTTAAAATAAAGTACAAAATATATCACAGCCTGTTGCTTTCTTCTTTATAAAAGAGATTTAATCTTAAAACTATCGAGCATAGTGTTATATGTGATCTTATAAGGGTACAAGTATTTTTTATGGCATAAGGGTATGGTAAAAATATTTTTTGTGCTTTTTCACTATGATCAATATGTGTGGCTTTCAAGGGCATCCATATTTGTGAAACATACTCATGATGGGGTCTTAGTAAGGCATTATATAATCTGATTTTGGTTGTAATTCTAAATTTTTTTTGTATTTATGATTTAAAAACTCAAAGCTTTTATTGTTTTTTTAGTTATGTGTAAGAAATGGTTATTAAACTTCAAATTAGACTGAAAGACAACTCCAAAATCCTTTACTTCATATTCACGATTTAATGTGACATCACAGGTCTTGTGTCTAATGTAAAAAATTAAGAGGCTACGGATCCTTACAACTTAAAATATGCATGTTTGTAAGTGTTAAATGGACGGATAGAAGTGTTGTTTTTATTTACAACTATAATAAGAAAGATATTATTTTTGATACCTGATAATCAATAAACAATATATTTTTTGGAGTAGTAAGTTACTACTAGTAACAGATTTATTAATACACAACTATTATTTTGTTACAAATATTTATATTATAAGATTTATAATTAACATAATAGTTGATATAAATCCTTTAAAAATAATATATTTTGATTTAATTGTTGAATTTATACATGAGCAATTTTCCTTGTAGCGTTGTTTACATTTTGCAGAGAACTATTGTATTCTGCTTTTAGCTGATGAATCATGTACATATAAACGGGTTGAATGTAGACAATGTTAATGTTTTTGCTACTACTGCTGGCTAGGAATGCTGGGCTGGGACACCAACACAAAAAAAAACGAAGCACAAAGCACTAGATCAGTTTCTATCACTTATATACTTACAATTTACAACCATTCAAGGAACTAGCATGTTGGAAATACTTTACGAAAACATATTAAATATAAATCAGTCGAATGCAATGTATTTTCTTCTTATAAGACACCTTTTTAGCTTGATTACTTCTAGTACTCTATTTATTCCAATGTTCTCAAATAAAACGAGCAATAATACGTAACAATAAGAATAAAACACACACTAAAGTGTATTTGGGGTATTTTTGATCTAAATTCACTACCAAAATAACAAATTTTCCGTTTTTAAGCTGTGAATGTATTACAAAAACTACTTCGATAAAATGTAAACAAAAGTTTGTATTTGTGTACGAAATATGGATTGCCTGCGCATGGTAGCGAGTTTTTAACCGGATTTATGACAAGTGATAGGTTATATCCCGAAAACGTAAGCGCAGTAAAAGCTGCGTGTCTTTTTCCCGCCCAGGGAGTGTCATGGGCCTGCCTCTACTATTATAGGGACCGTGCGTCATGACTTTAACGCTAACTGGTGACAAAAATGTGAACTTTTTGGGGGGTATTTATTAATGTTTTATACGGCATTTATTGTTTAATAATTATTAATAAAATGAAGTCGAATTATTTTCGTAATATCAATATCGAAAAAACTTGTTGCATCCGTGGATGTACAAACACATCACTTTAGAAACCTGGATTTCATTCGATAGTAAAGAAATTTTATAAATTTCCACAGAGCAAAATTATGCCTCACACCCAATGATATACATAATTACAAAGATTGCTTATCCATATGTAAAATCAGACGACGAAAAGCGTATTTCACTGGGCAAAGTTTTCTTTTTATCTAGCTTGTATCAATTTTGAGCACTTAGTTGTAAAGAAATCATTTACAGAACCGGTTTAGAAATTAGAATCTTTAGTGTTTTCTTGTCATTAAGATTTTTACATATTTAAATGAACATTTTATATAAATATAATTTTACAGATAATGGTTTATTCTGTTGATTAAAACTAATGTAGAATTTTATGAAATAAGAATGACCAATTTGACAAAAATATCACGGCCCTCTTTACAATTTATTAACTATTTCTCATTTATTATTAAAATAAACAAATCATAAATAATACATTGCAATTACTGTCAAAAGAGATTGTAACAAACTTTAAAATATTAAAAATCCAGTGATTTTTTGTAATTTTTTTTAGTGACATTACCATTAAACATTATTCAGAATAATAGATAAGTGTCCAATTACAACTCTTACCAAAGTTGTTTATACCTCATATCAAAATTGTTTACATTACCTTTTCAAAATTGTATTACATATTGCAATTATGTATTTTATGTAGAATTGTTTCTGAAATAGTAGTCTAAAATTATTTATATTCATCTGTTATAAAAATTGTTCAGATATCTTAATATTATTTAACTACATGAAAACTCAACTTTCCAAATACATAATGACATGTCTTGAAGTAAAACTTTAATTATTTTCTTTTTCTAAAGATTAAAATGCTGAAATTTTATTTTAAAACACATTTGGGCTAGAACGGCTCTATTTAGTGAGCACTAGGAAAGGCACATTGCAACCCGCTTTTCATAATTTTTTTATAGTTGGGTGAGCAATCTATAATATATGTATCATTGAACATCTCATAAACGCCAGTGGATGAATGACATTTCGATTAACATAAAGCTAAAAAGATTTATAATTATTATTATCAATCTTTTTTATTAATTTACATTTTTTAAATGTTATTGTAATAATTTTAAATTCAGTGTTACTAAATACCGATATTTTAACATTGGATACACTTATTTAAGGTACAACTTTACAATTTATTGTCACTTAGCCATTTAAATTTTTTTGCTTAAAATGTATATGCATGTCCAGATTTTAATAATGTTTCACATTTTACGTCATTTTGACCATGTACACGATTGTTTGGTACGGGCCGGTATCTATTTTTAACTATATTTAATATTTAAAAAAATACCCTTCATTATTTACTTGCAATGTTTACCCCATTTAATTCTAAAATTAAACACTAGAGAGGGCTAAGTTCGGCAGTAGTGCTGCCTCTATATTTCACGCACGGTCCCTATATGCTCTAAGGTTCTACTCAAGTCGCGATTTTCATTACAGAGTGTGTCCATCTGTCATATCGCAAAATAGCCTTTATGTCGTCTCTACTTTATTCTATCTCTATGTTATGGACTAATTGTACAGTGTTGGCGTAAAACGTATTGTACAGGAGCGGCGCAAGAAGCAATGTTGAGTATCTCACTTTTTAGTAGATCAATCTTTATTCTTGAAATGATCACCTCTCTTGAAAATCAAGGGTATATCGGTCGCTTGATTAATAGATTAAAATCTGTTTAATGGTCTACTATAACGACCTCTGGCGGATTTATTTCTAGTACGATCACTGGATCTAAACAATATTTGTGGTTCGTTTTTACGGTTGTACGAGATTAGAAATATATACCCTCTTCTATTATTTGATTATGACAAAGATTATATGCTACATAATATGTACATTGATAAGTCGCCTAGCTAAATCACTGTTAAATAATATTAACTTTAATCAATCCTATTTATTGTGAAACATGAATTTGAGTATTATTTGATTTTATTTTATGTTATAATTATTATTATTCTTATATTTATTAATAATATAATAATTATTATTAATATTATAATACGATTATTATAATTATTATTTTTATTCTATGCCAGCATCAACTGCTATAGTAATTAGCCTCGTGTTCTAAGTAGGCTTTGTCACTTTTTCCAGCGCCACTTTAGTAACAGTACTGTTAATTAAAACCCAACAGTGAATAGTCAAGTGGGGTCGAAACCGGGGGGACCTTTGATCCGAAAGTCTTGACTCTAACTACTGAGCCACCCACCCCCTATAATTATTATTATAATTATTGTTATTATAATTATTATTCGTATTGTATATTATAATTAATATTTAGCTATTTATTGCAGGTCATTAACAGTTGCCGTGACGGAACCACAGAAACCTTACTTTTTCATTGAACCCAATACATCCGTTAAAATGGATTTCAACAAAAAATATCAATTTGTTGTGGAATTTCAACCAAATGAAAGATTAGAAAACTTCTCACAAAAAGTAATTTTGTTAATATATAAAATTAGATTATAATGTCTTAAATATGCTAATAAAAAATAGCAATTTACCACTTAGGCAGCATTACTAACTATAGTCAGTAATTTTAACTTGTTACTATTATGAGTATCCAGTTATGAATGACCGCACCACAGAATGCAGACTCCTTTAAATAAATATATATTTTTTTAAAAATGTAAAATATATAATTTACTTTTTTACACTAATAAAAAGAATTTTTCGGAGAATTCTGAATTCTCGTGACATAGCAGATCTATGGAATTTTTAGTAAATATTTAAATTGACAATGACACAGATTAATTTCTAATTTACTGTAGAAAATTATTTATTTTGCGAGCACTTTTTAATCCATTTTATTTTTCAGATATTTTATAAAATTCAAAATTTTATTGCTCCGTTATGTTCAGTGAAAGGAAAATGTTTGATCACCGAATTTTCTTTAGACAAAGAAGTATTAACCTTTTCTAATGTATTAATTGACGCAACACGTGTTAAATATGTTCTGCTGAGAAATACTGGAGATTTGCCACTTAGGTAAGATAATTTCATATTAAAATAAAGTAGGTATTTTGTTTAGTGCAAACTCTGGCGGGATTGAAGCGGAATATAGGCTCGGATTAGAAAGTCGCTTAATTTTCGACAATGTATATGTCGCAGGAGTATTAAATAATCCAACTTTTTGCAAAAGTCCAGACATTTTATAAAACGAATGAATTTGTGCAGAAAACCTATAATTTTCAGTCACTTTGAACTGGCCAAATTAAACAATGATGATAGTGATAATATCTGTAAACTGTACTATATCCGCTTTTAGCAAAATAGTAGTTTGTGCAACAAGAGTGGATATGATAGTCATATCGCACGAAGACAAAATTTGCGAACGACGCTGTAGGCGAAGTCTACTGTTTTTTATAAGATATGACAGTTACATCTAGTGTCCTTGCATTTAGAGTTATGTAATATAATTTTTATTTTAGGTTGATCAACTACAGTAGGACCAAAGTAACAAATTTTGTTTTTTCAACGTTTATAGTCAATGAACTATAATCTAGATATATTTTTATTTCTTTTAAGCAGACTTATATGTTTAATTTAACTTCATCCCAAGATTTCCCAGTCACAAAAAGAGCAGTGTCATCGGCATAACATTTTCCTTTAAAATGGCTTCTTTTTGAGATGCTATTTATGTAAATTAAAAATAAAATTGGACCCAATACTGTCTCCTAGTGTAGATACTCCTATTTGTACTATTGAATCGGTACTTAATTCGTTCCCTACTTTTACTTTTTTGGTACTATTTGTTATTCGCTTATTCTGTTTAAATGGTCAGAGTGCGGAACCGTATTCCATTTTCATTTATAATATCAGTATCTGAAATTTTTGAAATTTTTTTACATCCTGTTATTTCATTAATTATTTTCCATGTTTTTTTTATAGTCAACGTAAGTCATTTTTTGTTTGTTTTTTTTTAATATTGCATTTAATTTATTTCTATATTCTTTTATTCTTTATAGTCCAGTTCTTTGGAATTATTTTATAAAATTCTATTTTTTAATTCATCCCTTTTATAGATAGAAGTAATTAAGGCTGAATTTATCCATGGTTTAAGTTTATTATTTTTTCTGTTTACTGTAAATAGTCCACGCGGTGGGTAAAGAATAAGGGAGTCTATTCGCAAAAAGGTCGGAAAGAAATGAAATTTGGTGGAATGGTAGACATGGGTCCCCTGATACTACACCTAAGTTTGCGAACTCAGGGGGAGCTGCCGCTCGAGTGGTGGAGGGATGAAAACGCGGCGTCGCGATGCTATTTGGGAAATAGAGCCGTTGTAGTAAGAGCTATCGAAAAAAAGTTCAAGTAAAATATGTACAGAACAAAATCGTGCACATTTTTTGTCTGCGACCAATAGTTCCCTCTCTACGACTCGTCAAAGTAAGGGGTTGATTTGCGATGTTCAACAAAATGAGAATTTCAGCGCGGATTAAGACTAAGATCGCTATGAAACAATTATGTAATATGTTTTTTCTAAAAGAGCAATGATTTCTGAGTCTGCAGATGCCCGATTTGATACATGTAGTAGCATATAATAAATGCTATGATGTTTTGAAGCGCGCCCCTACATACTCTGATAAAGATTTTGTAATTATTCGAATCTACAGTCAAATTTATTATTTTTGTGCATTAGTTTTGTAATCTTTTGTTTGGATGATCCCTTAACACGAGCCGATTTCTGGGAAAGCAAAACATCATAAACCCGGCGGTCGACAGAAAAAGGTCGTTCAATCATATTCTAAGGTTCAATCAGTGGGTTAACTATTTGGATGGGCAGATTATCGAACACTGTTGAGAAATGCAGTCCATTTCTTTTGTTAAGACTGTTATTCCATTTGTTTCAATAATTATTATTTTTGTAACATTTTTTTAATATTAATAAACATCATACGTAAAATAAACATTTAATTATTTGTGTAGTTTACAGTTCAGGTGTGAGGTGAACTTACGGCTTACCAGAAAAACGTACGCGACGTGAATGAGTGGCTTTAAATACAGGGCGTGCAAATACTTTTTGTTGTTACGTGACTAAAAAGGATATTATCATTAGATAAGTTATTTAGTGATTCGTGTGAAGTTAGTAAGATCTTTGTATTATGATCGTGTTAAGAAAGATGGACAAAGCTCCTAGGCTTATATTTATAAAGCAATCTTAGGCGTACTCGATATGAATGTAATTAGACTCCGACGAGACGAGACATTAGTGATAGAAGGTCACCTTTTAATGAAAGCACCGCATAAAAAAAAGCGATAGTTATGTATTTCGCGAGAAAATATAAATATAAATAAAGACCAGCTGATCGACAAAATAAGGGTGAGTCAAAACCAATTTTAATTTTATCTAATAATCAGGCGTCTAGTACTTACTATTTCATTGATTGTGTTATTAACGATGAACCTATACGAGGCTTTTTAGACTCGGGTTGTGCTGCAGTTACAATTCGTGAATCCGATGCAGTCATAAGTTGTATCTACAGGGTTAGCCCACATTAGTACGTTTGTGTGGTTATGCGGGAGATTTTGTTATAGTAAATTCAAAGGTTGACGTACCGGATAATGTACAGGATGTCTCTGTTATTGTAGGTTAGCCATTTTTAAATAATGATATGGTTACAGTTTTCGTTAGATGCAACCAAGTATGATATATTTTAATTAAAATAACGTCAACGTTACACATATTAACGAGTCTTTGTCTAAGTAAATTGATGTGTAGAAGAAACTACTATTATTCCGCAGAATTTTGTAGGTGACATTTCTCCAATTAAAAATGAAAACGTTAGGGGTGTTTTTGTTGATCTAAGATATTTTTGTAGATCTAAGATGTTTTTGTTGGTTGATTTAAGATATAGAAATTAAGATATTAATTTTCATATTATTTTACCGTGTGTTATTAACATAAATAACTGTTGCTGTATTCATGTTGCCAATATGTCCGATAAATCTGATACGAAAAAGACAGAATATTTGCTAGATGTTATACCTGTATCAAAATTTCGAAGATAGTTACCATCTAAAACTTGATAAGCAACATATATTGCTGTATTACCAAATTTTACGTTATTCGATCTTGAGAAACAAACTTATTCAGTATTAAATAGAATTAAACATTCTAAATTACTTAAATTACTTAGGACCGATTCCAACGTCGTGTTAAACGGAGATTAAAATGACATTGTTAATGTAAAAATGTTATTTTAAACTTCGATTAACACAACGGTGGAATCGGTCCTAAACGAATGTGGCGATTGTTTCGCTACTAATTTACGAAAGGTTGCTAAAACGACACGGAAATGTCGATCGCACTAAACGATACCGAACCTGTAATGTACGGTTCGTACTGTATGACTTTTGTTTTGGTAAATGCTCCTGCTGTTATATAAAGGATTATGAACAAAATATTTCCATAACGGAGAATGAATAATGAAGACCGGTGGATGGAGGATGAAGACCCATGACGGAGAGGAGGATGAAAGGCCCCTAGAAAGAGGCAGGACGAGAAAGGACGCCCAAATCGGAATGGAAGTCGACACACCAAATACACTGTAGCAGATTTTGCAGCACCTAATGATATAAACGAAATTCGGCGATTTTAAAAATAAAAAAAGCTAGTAGAACGAACCATATATGCTATTTATAACAGATACGTGAAAACTTAAGAACATTGTGACCAGTAGGAATACTTCCATAACGTCAAAATGACAGCACTTCAGGCTAGTATAATATTTAGTAGAGCCACAACCAAAGCAGAGTAAAAATATTATTCATAAGCTTGAAACTTTGGCGGCTGTACGCACATTTAAAAAGTTAAGTTTTAAGTGGCGTAAGGTTATAATCGTTACCGATTGTAACTCACTTCGTGACACCCGTGTGAAACGAGACTTAATTCTTTGCATCGCAAAATATTGGTTATTGATTCAAAAATTAGATTTTTAGCATTAAATACCGTGGTGGCAGTGGTGGCACTAAGATCAGCCACGTAGGCGCTCTGAGCCGAAGTACCACTATACCCATGGATCAATCACCTAACGTATCTGTATCTTTAACGCATCTGTAACGTATGGAGGGTGGGTTACCCCACGGCACTAAGGCCTCATTAGGTCCATTGTGCATCCTCCTGAGATGATAGGCATCTCCTAGCTCGTGAGCTAGCTTACAGATTTTATGTAGTTGACAACGTCGCCAAGAGGTGCTTTTCTTATATCGGCCGGTGTTAGCCGAATCACTTAACGTAATGATAGTAAATATTGAGGAAGATGACTGAATACTTTCAGCACAACCACAAGACAACACTTGTAACAATATTATCAATGTTTTGTCACGAGATCCTACAGATATTGACAAACGGCGAACAAAAAATTCATAAGGGGTATTGTTTATTTAAAGGATAAACTACTTTCGAAAAACAGCAAAAGAAAGAGATGATTTATTCTGAAAAGAGCACGACGAATAATTCTAATGTTAGTATATTGCAGCATCCTTATGATAGGTCATTTAGCAGTTGACGACTTTATAAAATTTTTATGAGTGCTAGGAAAATTCGTTACTTTTCATTTCAATTAACTGCTTTAAGAAATTTTTATAAGAGTGTTAGGAAAACACGTATCTCACAATATCAATTAACGGCTTTAAGAAATTTGTATAAGACTATTAGAAAAAAAACTCCTATCTCATCGTAGCAGTTGACGGCTTTAATTTACGAAATTTGTATTTTTTTAAAAAGCGGTACAAAAATACGAAAACTGGGCCGGTGCCTGTACTGCAATTTCTAGATGACGTAATAGAAATGTTCGGGGTTCATCGCAGTTTTATTTGCGACAGTGACACTGATTTTATGAAAAAGAATTTTAAGAAATACTGTTTAACTGTAGGTGTTAAACAGGTATATTTAACTTTAGGTGTTAAACAAGTGTGTTTAACTTTAAGTGTTGGACAGGTATGTTTAACTTTAGATGTTAAACAAATATATTTAACTTTAGATGTTA